ATGCGCAGCAGCAAGAAGGTTTCGGTCATCCCTTGAGGGTGAGTCTAGCCCTGCTCGCCAGAAAGACCCCCCCCTTCACTACAACCCATGTCTAAGCAAAAGCTTGTCGAGGAGCGAGGGGAAGAAGGGAGAAGCTGGTACAGGCAATCAATGGTAACCATTGGTGACCTAATGTATGCAATAACGTACAGGCAATTTTTGAATTTTTTTAATTTCCTTCGAACTCCAATTTTTGAAATTTGTTGGAAATTTGAAAATTTGAATACAGATGTACGCTTGTGTAGCAAATGTACAGCTCGGTAGGGTAGATGTTGGGTGAGGAACCTAGCCTTTCCTCGCGTGAGGAACCTAGCCTTGCAAGGTGCAACATCGGTCAGAACTAAAGGGTCACTAACAGAGTGTACCTTGACCTCCGTATACTGCTGTAGGCTGTACGGAAATTGGACATTTGAAGGTACTGAGTGGAGACTGGAACGGTTTTTAACCCTTTCGGGACAACATGCACGATAGCAATACGATAGTGTTGTGTGTGTGCCGAAAGATCGCTGGCGTGCCTCGCCAAAGAGAAAAATACCTGCGCCGTAAAGGCCAGCAAAGAGAGACCAACAGGCAGCCCACCACACAAGCACGCAAATGAGCAATGTGCGCAGGGCTACACCCAGTACAACAATTGTACAGCAGTATATCTCTGACGTGGGGCAGATATGTCATTTCCTTCAAGACCCAATCTACTGCCTACTGCTGTAAAATCCAAACGGGAAACACCACGGGAAGGTACACATAGCACCATCAACAGGTGATCAACCCGGGGTCCCGCTTGCGCGATGCAGAACAGGGATACCGCACCCCGAAGCCGATGCAAACGTACTGCCTAGGTACCTATAGCGGTCATGACTGCGGTGTTTGCGGTCCAGAATAATTGGGAGTGAAGGAGGTCCGTGTGCTGTATGCAATTTTCGCTGAAGGCAAAGGGTTTTCGGGACTGCATGCACGATAGCGTGCACGATAACCCCGCTCGATCTTTAGTACGCAGGGTATAATTTGCCGTGATTATTATCCATTTTTTGCGATAGTAATATCGTGGGGTCGATTTGCTATGTGAGACGGAAAAAAAAAAGTCATATCAACCTAGTCACGTAAGGGTTAATGTGAAGACAACAACAACACCTTTAGTGCAAATGCATACGACACATGACAACACACCCACAATGCGATGAGAAACCCAACCCGGTGCTAATAATCGTTGGATCTCAAACAGGAGCCGAAGTAACTCCCGGGTTACGTAAGATATCACACACCCTGCCAGCTAAGACGCATGTGAACACGGAGTCCATCAAGCTACCACCCCCGTGATGACACACAGCAGTCGTGACGACACACAAGGTGGCCCAGAAGGGAAATGCGCAACACACCCTCGCAGTACGGGGGAACAATCCCGTTCTTCAACGCAAACAAACGAACTTTTTGTCTCCCCCACCTTGCACCTTGTCGGCGTACTCTCTTGTGCCAAGCGGTAGCATCACTATATCACATGTAAGATACCGCTAGCGTACAGGAGAAATTTCTCTCGGGCCCTGAGAAGGCTCCATTTCGGCGCTCTCGACCGCTCACAGAGCCGCATTTCCATCTCTCAGGGATCTTACGGGCGCTTCTTGATTATTCCGCTCCCTCTCTACCTCCCCCCCGGTGTTTGCCATCGGGGTTGGGTTTTCGTCGATTGGCAAAGACGTTGTAAAACAAGCCCCCCCACCAGGCAACGGGCAGTTTGCAATGGATACTCGATCCTCGACTACATCCTGGTAGATAGGGGGAGCACACAGATCCCAGAGCTGCACGTAAGTGCGATAGATATAGGTTCGACCGACCACTTCTTCATATGGGCAAACATCGACCGATCTAGAAAGATGAAGAGTAAGAAACAGAGGAAAGTGTTCCGGTGGAAAGTAGAGCGTTTGGGAGACGAGGGGACACGGGATGAATCCCAGAAGGGACTGGCTGGTAGTGCAGAAGAACCCTTCAGGAAACTGCTGAGAAGCGTCGAAGACGGACAGGTAGACCTACAAGCAGCAGGGGACAGGGTGATTGAATGGTGGGAGTCCATAGTGAACGCAATGGCAGAGAGAGTGTGTGTGAAAGAAGGTGGTACGATGTGGGGTATCGGTTAAGTGGTGGGATGACGAGCTGAAAGAAGAAATAGGGGAACGTAGAGAAGTCTTCAAGCAGTACCTGAGTGAGGCGTCTGAGGAGAGTTTGGAAAAGTACAGGGCCAAGAGAAAACAGGTGAAGGGACTAGTGAAATTGAAGGGAAAGTGTATTTGGGACGAAGTAGTGCAGAAGGCCAACGGAGGCCTGGAGGGAAACGTCAAGCAGATGTGGGAAGGGATTAGTGGAATGGTAAAGAAGACCGCGCAAGGGGGGGATACAGGGGTCGCAACTTTGCGAGGTGTGAACGGTGGATTAGTCAGCAGTGGGAAGGGAAAAAGGGAAGTTCTAGCAGGACACTACAAGAGACTTGGAGTGCCCTCGGAGAATGAAGCTTTTGACCAAGCGTTTAAGAAGGAGGTGGACGCATGGGCCCAAAAAGAAGAAGAGACATCGAAGGCAGACGTTGGGAACGTAGAACTAGAAAAGGAGTTCACTGAGGACGAGGTTGAGGCGTGTGTGAACAAGCTGAAGTGCCACAAAGCAGCAGGAGCGGATGGGATAGTCAACGAGTTCATGAAGTTTGGGGGGAAGGGGATGATCCAGCTGATGGTACTGCTATACAATTGGGTGTGGGAAAATGAGTATACGCCAAGTAGATGGGAGGGAAGGAGTTGTTGTGAACTTTTTAGGAAAGGAGACAAGACTGACCCAGGAAACTACAGGGGGATCACACTGTTGAACACAGTAGGAAAAGTGTTCTGTAAGCTGCTGAACGATAGGATAGTGGCAGTATTG